CACCTCTTTTTCCTGGAGAGCTCCTCCTCGCTCTCCTCCTCATTCTTCTATTTTCTCAGCCCTCTAGGTTCCTGTTGGCCTGTGCTGATGAAAACAATCCTCAACTTCCTGACCTTTGAAGACTAGTCCCCCTATAGCCCAGTACTCTCCATTGTCTCTTCCTACTTTTTTTTTTTTTCACCTCACTTAGGTAGATAACTCCAAACATGGGCATATTGCCTTTTGAACAGCACTAAATTTAAAATACTACAGTTGAAATTTCAGTGGAGGGAGACCATTACAGATGAAACCTTTGGGGATATACTGCTAACTTCCTGCATCACCTAGATTTCTCTCTGTTTCTGTGGAAACACCCTCAAGAAGTCTCTGATTTCATTTCTACCTGGGTGCCCTTTAAGATTCAATATGAGAAAAGCAAAGGAGCAGAAGGAACCACAGTTGTAATATCCTGATGTGAGAGATGAGAGAAAACAGAGTTTGTGAGAGAGTCAACGACTTGTCCAAAGTCCTACAGCTCATAAATGTCAAAGTCAAAACTTAAATTAGGTCCCCAGGTTTACTTCAATACTTTCCTCCCATTATTCTCTGCTACATTAGAATCTACTACCAAATTTAGGGGCAAAAATACATAACGGAACACTTAAAAAGTTAGTTTCCTTGCCTGACATGGCGAGAAAAGAAGAGGAAGCATCAACCGCAGATCCAAGAGATGAGGAGACGATACCAGAGGAAGTCTGAGTGGCTGCCGTCAAAGAGCGGTGTGTCCAGTATGAAGGTCACTGGTCACACTGGTCGCTTGCGATGATCCAAATTTATTTACAGACAACTCCATGGAAACCCCAAGATTCTAGCAGGTGGCAGTAGGTCTAGGGGGAGAATGATGTCACAGAGCAGGCAGTTCAAAGGTACGAGACAGCCAATAGGGCGGCCAGATTCCCCACAAGAAGATGGGATTGGGTGGAGGGAGTCGGGGGAGAGCTACAGCAGCACCTGCATGGCTGAGCTCTGGGGAGGTGACATCCTAGGAGCCACATGTGCTAGTCTCTCTTCCCCAGGCTCTTATGTTAGGGAATCCTCTCAGTGTTCCTTATAGATGTTCATTAATGTAAGTAACTCATAGTTCTTTGTATTCTATGAATTATACTTTATAACATATATGGTACATTAGTAATTACATGTACAGTTAGTTAATATCCTTAGAGAGGAAGGAAAAGGACATCTAGGTTGACCTATTACCGTTGTTCTGAAATCCTACCGGGTGATCTAACGGTGAACTTACTGCAGGTTTTAAGGAGCAAAGGAAAGGATTGGCAGCTCCTTCTCTAACTTGGTGAAAGCGTAGGGTGAGGTTTGTTGAGTGCCCCTTGTGGGGAATGATGTGGTTCAAGGCTCTTCTCTTTGAGTTTCTTCTCCTTGAATCCTACCTTCCTTGGACTGGGCTGGGCCGGGTTGGACTTGCATCTCTCTGCTGCTCCCCTTTTCTTTTGTCTGCATTATAGGCCTTGTTTCTGGGACCAGCCTCGCCCTTGCATCTCCCCCTCCTGGGTGTTACTTCCTTTCAATCCCAGCAGCAGAGGTCTTCTTTCCAGTGCCTGATGCTTCTGAAAATGGCGTCTGCCCATTAGAAGCAGATGCCAGAGAGCCAGGGACACAGCTGAGGGCAGAGCTCTTCTCTTCCAGCCTTGGGTTGCAATTCTTTTGCCCATAATTTGCTCCCTCTGGCTCCTTGGGCCACACAGGCCTCCTGCCATCCCGCGCTTTTATACATGAGAGGCATTCGGGGTCCCCCCCTTTCCTTCTCCTCTGAGTGTATCCAGTGTGGCAGTTGCTGTAGCCTCCTCCCTCTTGGAAACAGCCGCTGTAGAACATTGGGCCTCTAGGGTTCTCTGTCGGCCATGGTTGTGCGCAAGGCTGAGCAACATGCAGAGGAGAATAGTGAGAGAAAGAGGAGGACATTCGTGGAGAATAGGGGAGAGGCAAGGTGAAAGGGACAGGAAAACAGCTGTCTGTGGATTTTTTGGCCTTGAGAAACAGGTGGACACATTTTGCCCTCATTTGTATTAAGAGAACAGAAAATTCAGTATATAGCTTTTCAATTTGCTGGGTAGTCCTGCAACAGCCGCAGTTTCTGTCCACTAAAGAGAATAATCTTAAATCACTTTCTCTCACTTTGTTTTGTGTGATATTACATCATTTATGTTATTCATTGGTAATTGTGTAGAATATGGGTTGTTTTCAAATGCTCTGGGTCTTTCTCCGTGTTTCTCCTGGTTGTGTTTTTAAGGATCCAACGTTGGAAGACAGATCACATGCTGTTCTCCTGCTGATTGTTCATTGGGAAGCGTCACGAACTAACTTGACCTGAAGGGTTCTGTGGAGAAACTTACGAGGGGTCTGTGAGAAGCATTGTGGTGAGTTGCACGGTGCCCTCACGCCTAAGGAGCAGATGTCTGCAGTGCACCCGGCTGGCCTGGGAGCCTCTGCTTTTGTGCCCCTGCTTAGTGCTCTTCTCTCTAACCACTCTGGTGACTGGGAGACAGTGGGCGAGGGCTGAGTTGCTGCTGATTTGTATGTGGAGTCAGCTGATTTGGGGAGGAAATCTGTGGATCTAGTCATTTTCCATGGTTGTAAGCATTTTGGATGCCTAAGTGGACCTATGTGGAGACTATTCTAGTTTAAATGAGTAGGAGGTGTGTGATCCAAGATGCCAGGATGCCCCAAGTAGATACCTGCTAGATGGGACCTCCAAAGACACACATTTCATTTATAGGAATATTTTTCCTGTTATGAAATGTTAATGTTTTGAGTGATGGCGTGGGGTGCTTACCCGAGGAGAAATTGTGAAGGGTATTGCAGTGTAGAGCTATGGCTGGGGCTCATGAAATCTTTGAAGGGTTTTGTCCCTCAGCTTCGTACCTCAGTTAGCCTACTTCCATGATGTGAGGATGTAACGTGAGGCTAACAACATATTCACAAGTGAGACCAGTCTCTCTCTTCTCTATGTCATGTGGAAATGAGGGGAATCCGGAGCTAATGCAGGTTAGGGTGGGTAGCGTAAGATTGGGGGAGCTGTGGTAAGACAAATTCTCGTAGCAGTCGCATGTTTACACATGAAAATATTCACTTTCCACTTCCAGTCTGTTTAGGCAAACCCTCACTTGGGCCTTTTCTGGTTCCCAGCCTCTATAACCACTTTCTCTCTATAGTTCCAGCCATGTATTCTTAGCATGCAGCCTAAGCATCATGTTACCTGTAAAAGAATATTAAGTGTATCAGGAAGCACCCCACAAGATAGAATCCAATGCTTTGGAACTTAGCATCAAGCCCTAGGCTCACAGGAAAACTTTTTTTTATAGTTAGGGTACTGTCTTGTCCCACAGACCCACTTCATGCGTTTCGTACCCATGAGGATAACTGAGACTTGTCTTCGTGTAACACACCCTGTCCATCTACCCCTGAGGCTCCTCTTTACTCTCCCCATTGTCCCTTTTTGATTCAATTAAGGACTGGCATCCCTCAAACTCCTCCATGTTCCCTCGGGCCCTACCAGGTACTGGCAATTTTGTTAGTGTCAACTGCTTAGCTGTTTCGTGCTCCAAGTATTTCTTTCTCCTATATTTTCCATTCCAGCATCCTACATACCTGTTAAGGCCTTCTTTTCTTTAGGTTGGATTCACATCTCTGAAGGCCTACACTTTGCTCATTCCCGTACTTTCTGGAAACTCTGTCATGCTTAAGTCTAGATTTTCTTGTGTCAACTGAGATGTTCCCACCCCAGCTTGTGTCATTTAGCAAATTGGAAGTGCAAGACCCATATAGCCTTTCTAGATTCTGAGTGATTTATGTCACATTCTGTGTAGTCATGTCTGTAGATATCTGTGCCCTATGTACTTTTAGGCCAGTGCATGCCTATCGTGTATTATTTTTCATAGATTCCAAAGGAATATTTTATGATGTAGCACCAAACTTGAATGTGCCACGCTGTAAGTTTGCTAACTCTGCTGTGCTAACTTACGTTGTTCTTTTTTCAAATAGCAACTTACTAATATTGACCCATTTTTAGTTATGCAGAAGATTTCTGAATTGTAAATGCTGGGGGATTTGGACTTTGTTAGACTATGACTGTGTTAGAAATGTTAAAGAGTGTGGTCTTTTTACCTGTTCATTCATTCCTTTATTCCAGAACTCTCACCCTCCATTTACCTAGCTCTCAAATGGTTGTGAAGATTATTAACAGTGTTTCTAAGGTATTTTCAGAAATTAGAAAGTAAAAAGTAAAAATCATTTGCTGTTACAATTATTTACAGGTTAATCTGAAATTTAGTGTCCCTTCTGCCTTCAGTCATATGGTAGGACATGCTGTCCTTTGCTGTTCCACTTGTAGCTGAATTCAGAGTTTTTCTAACAGGGACAGCTCCCTGTGCCTGATATTGTGTGTAAATCTTAGCCTTGAGCTCCACTCTTACCGCTCTCAGTCATTTTTTGGAATTTTCTAAATATACATACCATCACCCTTTAGCATGATACCTGGCACAGGCTAGGAATCCAATAAAAGTTTCACTCTAAGTGGGAGTGTAGATGGTTAGAATGTTTTTGGAGGGTAATTAGAGAGTACTTTTCAAAATTTTTAGTTTGTATATCCTTCTTTCCAGCAGTTCTACTTCTAGAAATTTAACAGTAGCTGTATTCATGCACGAGGATGTTCACATTGCAGTCTGTCTGTATCAGAGGGCAAAAAAAAAATGAAAACAACTAAAAGTCCATCAATATTGGACTCATTATATAAATTATGGTAATTATAGTCAATGGAATACTATGCAAGCGTTAAAAAGAATACAATGGGTTCCAGCCCGGTGGCACAGCAAAGTTCACAAAATCTACCTCGGCAGCCCAGGGTTTGCCCGTTTGGATCCCAGGTGTGGACCTAGGCACTGCTTCTCAAGCTGTGCTGTGGCAGGTCCCACATATAAAATAGAGGAATATGGGCACGGATGTTAGCTCAGGGCCACTCTTCATCAACAAAGAGGAGGATTGGTAGCAAATGTTAGCTTAGGGCTAATCTTCCTCAAAAAAAAAAAAAAAGAATGGATGTATGAATAAATTGACTGGAAAGTTCAGTGTCCAAGACAGATTGTAGAATATGTAGAGTATGATGCTTTTGTATGAAATAGAGGATATGCATATAGGTACAAAGAAATATTTATATAAAATATACAATGAGTAAATGTAAGCACTTGGAAAATATCTGGAAGAATCACATAAGGACCTGTGGGAGTGGGACTTCAGTTTTCATTCCATGTCTTTCTTGTTTGAAATCTCAAGTCAGTGACAAACATGCCGTCGACAAGTGTGTACTGATGACTTCTTAGCATTCAGGACTGCACTGGCTTATGAGGGATACAGAAGGGCTGGCCATCTGTGTCTTAGGCCTTGTTTGTGGAGACGTTTGCTCTGTTTTGTTGCCTTGTATCTGTTTTGAAGATGGGAAAGAAGGAAAAAGGGGAGTACAGGTGGTTACTAGGTGGGGTTGAAGAAGGGGAGCAGCAAGATGCCAAGCAGAGCAGAGGGGACCCACTGTGTGGGCTGTGAATTCCGTTCTCAGGGAGCCTCATTCTACACAAGGAGACAGTCTAACGTCAAATGTGGCTCACAAAAAGTGTGTTAATAGGTGGAAAGACTATCTCGCAGTTGGACAATGGATGTCTGGGACTCGATCCTTGCTTTCAAAGTTCCCTTGAAAAAGGTAAGCAAAAGTTAATTTAGTTTGTTTCAGAAATCTGAATTCACCATGTGGAACTCTGGACCTCACCCTGTCTCACTCCATTTTCCCTTTTTATAGGTAAATATTTTGTAATATCCCTTCTACTCTCCTGAAGTGATATTCGTAGATGTTTAAAACCTGCTTCCATACTTAATTTCAATGAAAACAAATCAGTGTAATGCTCTAACTACAATATTAAGAACAAATAAAAGTAGTTTATAATAAAGTAATAGGTATTCACATTTCTATATGTCAGTGTTTGAGTATGACCTTTAAATATAAAGAAATGATTTCTCAGTTACTTGCACTGTCAATGCCAAAGCTGCCCATGCTCACTGATCTGGGTGGGTATGTTGCCTTAGTGGCAGGAGTTTCAGTGATTGTGAGCAGCGCTTAGCAGATTTCCAAAGAAAACAAAGTACAGTGTTCTCTTGGATGATAAGGTGACAGCTATCCTGGAAATTCGATGTACATGAAAACTGCAAAGAGAACCATTGTATTTATTTGTGAAATGGAGTTAAGTTCTAAGGTTTAGATATTTATGAACAGTTTTTTCACCTATATGGAAGTTAAATAGGACTTTGAATAGTCATCCAGGTGTGAGACCCATTTGTGGGACTGTTCTGAATTTGGTAAGATGTCTGGTATCCATGACCCTCACGCACTGAATGCCAATAAGACGCCTTCCATCCAATCATCACAACCTAAAAAAAATGCCCTGGATCAGCAAGATCAGAATTTCAGCTTGGAAACTCTGAAGAATTATATTTCTGCTTGAACTAAGAAAGGAATAGGTGGGGAAAGCACTTGACTGTCATAAAAAATATGAGAAGAGATTCCATGTCTCATTACCCTGCACAGTGTGGATTCGCGTCAGGAAGAGCCCACTTTGACTGTATTGGGAATTTATTTAATTTATCTCTCATAGGTCAGGGGTGGTTTTTCACCTACTCTGTCAATTCTTCTGCATCTCTGGGCTTAAACTTTAGTGATTTCTTAAAGATAAGCAAATGGTTCTAATTCACATCTGGCAACACCAAGTTAACATCCTAACTACTTCACAATCTTTGTTGAATGAGTGAACTGACGGCCCACCCCCACCCACGTTGGCCGTACCTGTGAATTTCCTCTTATGTTCCTCCTCCTCTACGGGATTGTCCTCACTCCTCAGTCCCTGCTCCACCGTCTCTGCAAGGGGATCCTGAGGTTCCCCCGGGTCTCTGCTTAGCCTCTTTTCTGCAAGGACATCAGCAGGGAGAAGCAGGAAGACTCTTCAGTCTCCTTTCCTCTGCACAGCCAACGTCTTTCCTGTGTGACGTGGTTATAGGAAGCCTCTTCTAGTTCTGTGTGCACAAGGTGTTCTCTTCAGTGTTGGGACTGTTTAAGGCGCCATCAAGGGGATTGCGAAGCTGCAGGGCCACTCCCAGTGCAGTCCCTGTTCACGCAGTAGAGGTAGGGAGATGAATGACCCCTGCGTGGCAGTGGAATGGGACAAGGTGTCCTGGGTGTTTGACGGAAGTCACCCAGGGCAAAGCTACCTCAGTACCTGGCAGTTGAGTGTCAGGCACACTGGACTGTCAAGTAGCAAATGTTAAGTGTCACAGAAATGCCACAGCAGAAATGCCTAGGAATGGAAAGGAGGGGGAAATGACAACAGACAGGGTTAATCAAGGAAGGCTTCCTAAGCGGTTTGTGACTAAATGAGTTACCTCAGGTTGGCTGTTGTTCAGATAGCTGGAGATGGTAATGATCCTCCAGCTCCAAGTCTGGAAGAAACTGACAGGAGAGATTGTACGCCTTGTTGTAATTGATACAGTCTTCAAACCTTTCACAATGTTCTGTGGAAGACTCAGCATCATAGATCTGTCAGATCTCTCTAAGTTAATTTATAAATTTAACATCATCTCAAATCATCTGATTCCAAAGCTCATATAGAAAAAGAAACTTACATAGCCAGGAAAATTCTGAAAGAGAAGAATAACGGTGTAAGGAAGTGATGTAGCTGTACCAGAAATTAAGCCATGTTAAAAGTGTTGCTGGAGCACAGGGGATTTTTAGGGCAGTGAAGCTAATCTGTCTGATATAGGGGTAAATACATGTCATTATGCTGGGAGCCGTGGCTGCATCATTTGATCGGCTGTTTGACAGGGTCCAGCCGATTAACGCCGAGGGGTGCAGGGTCGCCCCTTGATGAAGAATAACTGGCCAGCCCCTCACATAGTTCTGAAACCTGTGCTGCTTCTAATTGCCCTTCATTCCTTTTCCTTTCTTAACCTCCAGTTTTCACTCCTTTGGGTGGCTGCTTGGGAGGCACTACCTCCCGGGAGAATTAAATATAGTAAGAGAATGTGACCACCTGCAGGTAACTTTCAAGATATTTTTCTGAGAGCTAATTTCATTTGATGCAGTTAATTAATGGAGGAACACACAGTCCCTTTTGAGACAAGCAGAAAGCAATCCTGCCCAGATAAGATGTCGAATTAGGTTTGTAGCCTCCATCTGGTTAATGTTTCCTTCTTCCTCCAGTTCTTTGTCTAAATATATATGCATCGTCCTTTCAAGTTTGCTGGTTAATTGGATGATCAGGAAGTATCTATATATTATGCTTGACCTTCTGCTTTCTGTTAAAATGTTATGGAAGTTTTCTCCTAAAAGACAAAGGAATGCTTTCAGCCCCTAAGGGACGTGGGAATTTAAAGATGTTTAACTACCTGCTGAGAACACAAATAGCCCTGGGGATAAGATACCCTGGAGTTGCCATTAACCATCTACACTAATGGCGTAAATGATTGAGGGAGGCAGGGATGGCTACACCAGGATGTAAACAGACGGAATGCTGTCCTGTCCGGAGGCCTGGACCTTCTCTCTTTGATTTAACTTTACCATGAATTACAACAGATGTCTAGGTACCTATCTCTTTTAGCTTAGAGACAACAAACACTAGTTAACTGCGGAGAAGACTACCATTAACCTTATGCTCTATAGAATAGAATGCTAATAAATATTCTTGTGCTCATTTTTTACTTCCTTATCTCTCTGAGAATATTTGTAGAGCTATTTCTGTACTAATCCTGAAAAATATAAAAACGACACTTGTGCACAGTAAAGTTGGACTTGCTAACACCAACCCAAGTCTCAGGTCCCATTCATTTCCCTCATTGCGCCGACGCCGTCCATCCCTCAGGAACCTGGACTCAGCCGGGACGGGACTCCAGCATCATTATACATTGGCCAAAATCCATCGAATACACAACACAGAGTGACCCGTGATGTGAGCTATGGACTTTGATTGACAATGATGGGTTGATGTTGGTTCATTGATCCTAACACATGGGGCACACTGGTATGGAACGTTGATGGTGGGGAAGGCTGTGTGGGGTGAAGGAGAAAGGGTTAGAGTGGGAACTCTCTACTTTCTGCTCCGTTCTGCTTTGAAGCTAAAACTGCTCTAAAAATTAGTCTATTTGTTTTTTATTTTTTATTTTTGTGTGAGGAAGATTGGCCCTGAGCTAATATCTGCTGCCAATCTTCCTCTTTTGGCTTGAGCTAGATTCTGCCGAGCTAACGTCTGTGCCAGTCTTCCTCTTTTTTATGTGGGATGTTGCCACAGTGTGGCTTGATGAGCAGTGCTAGGTCTGTGGCCTGGATCCGAAACTGCGAAGACCAGGCCGCCAAAGTGGAGCACATGAACTTAACTGCTAAGCCACCAAGCTGGTCCCCTCCAGTAGTTTTTTAAAAGATGTGTTGCTGGCCCTTGAATAACTAAACAGATCAGTGGAACAGAGCACATAAATAAAACAAATGCATAAAAGAATATTTAGCAATAAGAGCCATCCTTCATTTATTTAGATATTCTAGGAGTATTTATAAGTGCCTACTCATAGGCACTGTGCTTGGAGCTGGAGGTACAGTGGTGGACAACATTGATGTGGTCCCTGCCTTCTGGGAGTTTACAGTCTGGTTGGGAACCCACATGAAACAAATACAGAAATAAATCTGTAGACGTGAGCTTATTTTCTTCCCTCTAATCTCTGGAAGAAAGGATGGTAAACTAGCTCATAACCTCCAGAAGAGTGAAAACTTTCCTCTGAATCACACTGTATGTTAGCATCACAGGGCTTGAATGAATGGACAATATAAGAAAGGATTTTAAGCACACATTTGCTCTTTCTTACCTCATTCTCTCTGACAGAGTTTGGAAAAAAATCTTGCTGCAGAAGAATGTTTTTACCCCTTGGACCGTTTTAGCAAAATCTGAGAGCAGAATGAAGAACTTGGACTGATTATTGATGTAACACACACTCGCCACTAATACAAACCAGACGTAAATGGAACCCTTAGTGAAAAGAAACTTCTTCTTTCTGGTAGTATGATAACTCACAGTAATTCAGTAGTTATAATCCTGGCCTTCCTTCATGGGTAATAGTTCAGAAAGGGAGCCAAGTGGCTTCCTTAATTACACTTTTCTAATTGTTATAAAAAAGAGATTAAAGACATGAATTGAACTATAATATGTAGCTATAGGCTCTGTTTGTGCTTAAGAAATTCTGTAAACTTCTATGTTCTATATTTTCAAAGTAAAGTAAACTTTTAGTGAGAAAAGTAGTAGCCTAAAAGGAAAGACAGGGATATCCATGATGTCTTTAGTACTTATTTTGAGCAGTTGTCAGAGCACGTGTAAGCGTCTCAGTAGAAGACAGTTCTCTTAAGTTTTATGCTTGCTTTTCCTAATATCTTTGGACACAATAGAGAAACCCATATGTTCTGTTGGCCCATGTGGCATTATCAGTGGGAAAGAATTATCCTCCTTCTGAGCAGTTCCACGGCCTTGGAAACAATAACAGTAATGTCTGTTAACATTTGTACAGGCCTACCTCACAGATATCGCAGGTTCTGTCCCAGAGCAGTGAATAAAGTGAATATTGCAATAAAGCGAGTCGCACAAATTTTGTGGATACCTAGTATCTTTAAAAGTTATATTTACACTATACTATAGTCTCTGAACTGTGCATTAGCATTATGTCTAAAAAAATGTATGTACCTTAATTGAAAAACGTACTTTATTGCTATAAATGCTAACCATCATCTGAGCCTTCAGCAAGTTGTAATCGTGTTGCTGATGGAGGGTCTTGTAAGAAATGCAGCGTCTGTGAAGCACGGTAGAGCGAAGCACAGTACAGTGAGGTAGGCCTGTACAGCAGCTGCCATTTAAAAAGTGCGTGCACACACGTTAAGTCAGTGAATCCGCACAGCAGGCCTTTGCTGATGAAGTGGGAGTGGTACTAACGTCCCCTCCTGAGTGCTTCCTCTGCACTGAGCCCGGAGCATAGATGGTGACAGAGATTCATTTCACAGATGATGAAACTGAGGCCCAGAAAAGGAAGAATTGAAACTTGAACTCAGTTATTCCTCTTACTTTTTTTTTTTACTGTTGTAAAATATACATAATTAATAACTATCATTTTAATGATTTATAAGTGTACAGTTCAGTGGCATTAAGTGCATTCACGATTTTGTGCAACCATCACCACTGCTTGTAACCAAAAGGTTTTCATCATCCTCAACAAAAGCTCTGTAACCGTTAAAAAAAAACCCGTTTCCCCTCCCCCCAGCCCCTAGTAACCTCTATTCTACTTCATGTCTCCATGAATTTGCCTATTCTAGGTACCTCATATTAGCAGATCAAACAATATTTGTCCTTTGGTGTCTGGTTTATTTCGCAGAACATAATGTTTTCAGGGTTCATCCATGTTGTAGCATGTAACGAAATGTCATTCCTTTTTATTGCTGAATAATACTCCATTGTGTGTATACACCATGTTTTATTTTTCATCTGTTGATGGACACTTGGGTTGTTTCCACCTTGTGACTCTTGTAAATCAAACTGGTGTGAACATCGTGTACAAATATTTGTTCAAATGCCTACTTTTACTTCTTTTAGAGGTATAGGTAGGAGCAGACATGTTGGATCATACGGGAATTCTATGTTTAACCTTGGAGTAACCACCAAAATTTTTCCACAATGTCTTCTTGTTTTTAAACAATTATGACAAATTTTAAGTATTTGCAGAAGCAAACGTAATGGTGTGGTGTTCACTGTATACCCATGAACTCATCCATCTTTACTATGTATCAGCTGATTACTGTCGTGTTTCATCTGTACCCCTACCTGTTTCACCCCATTCCATCATATTTTGAAGAAGATCCCAATATCATATGATTTCACCTGTCTATTTTTGGTGTGTATATTCAAGATATAGGACTTTTACTCCTTGATATCATTCATTAGTATTAAATATCTGGTCAGTGGTCAAATTTGCAGTTGTCTCCTAAATGTCATTAAAAATTGCTTTAAGAGTTTGAATTAGATTCAAGTTAGATCCATACTTTGCATTTGATTGTTAGGTCTATGAAGTCTTATTTAATGTGTAAGTACTCTCTCCATGTCTCTCACTTTCTTTTTTATTTTCCATTGAATTTATTTATTTTTTATTATTTTTTATGTGGAATATTAGCCCTGAGCTAACATCTGCCAATCCTCCTCTTTTTGCTAAGGAAGACTGGCCCTGAGCTAACATCTGTGCCCATCTTCCTTTATTTTATATGTGGGACACTGCCTCAGCATGGCTTGACAAGCAGTGCGTAGGTCCATACCCGAGATCCAAACCGCGAACCCTGGGCCACTGAAGTGGAATGTGTGAACTTAACCACTATGCCACCGGGCTGGCCCCCCCTTCAATTTATTTTTTGAGGAAAACTAGGTAGTTTGTCCCATCTGAAGACTGCATTAAAAAAATACAAAAGTGAATGAACATAATGGATAATGCTTTAAGAGAAACAAAAAAAAAGGAGGAAATTTTTTAAATCAATAAGACGATAAAAAGAATTCTGGAGAAATGGCAAATATAAAAGATAAGCAGAAAAGCCAGGACAATTCTGAAAAGCATAATTCAAACACATGTAAGAATTTAGCGTGCCATAAAAGTGACACTTCAAATCAGAGGGACAGGTTAGTCAGTGAATTGTGATACATTCATGTAGGATATATATCATTTCTCCAGAAGGATCCGCAGCGTGGCAAAAGTAAATGTGTCTAAGGGAGAGGGAAATGCGTGACTGGAAAACTTGGGGAAAAGGGTGAATTTCCATTGAATCTCCTTTTGTACCTTTCTCGTATTCTATCCTGGGAATCTATTAACTCTGAAATCTGACTGCCTGAGTTCAAACCCCAGCTCTCCCAACTGCTAGCTTTTCACCTTGGGCAAATTCTTGACACTCTCCAAGCCTGTCTCCTTATCTTTGAAATGGGGTGAGTGACTTAGGGGGTGCTTCCTGACACAATATAAACTCTCAATAAATACACACACTACAATACGGATGAACTTTGAAAACATTCTGCTAAGTGAAAGAAGCCAGACACAAAGGTCATGTATTGTGGTATATGTCATATGTATGAAATGTCCAGAAAAGACAACTCCAGCGAGACAGAAAACAGATGAGTGGTTTCCTGGGGCTGGTGTAGAGAGAAGGGAATGAGGAGTGACTGCTAATGGTTAAAGGGGTTTCTTCTTGCAGTGATGAAAATGTGGTGAGTTAGATAATGATGCTGGTTGCACAATCTTGTGACTATATGAAATGCCACTGTATTTGCAGTTTCAAAAGGTGAATTTTATGGTACATGAACTATATCTCAATAAAAATAATTTTTAGAATGTGAATTACCAGTATTCCGGTGGTAAGTATATGTTGGAATCTCTCCCCCCACTACACTCCATTCCCTTTTTTGCCCCCTCCACTCTAACCCTGCTCACTCCCTCACGGTTCCCCACAATGCCTCCCAGGAGCACCTTTGGACCCTTGGTCAGCTGTGTCCTGTGCTGTTGGAATGGCAATCCAGTGCACACGTGTGCCCACCACTCTCTCTGTATGATGGACGTTTCCAGCCAATTATTCTTGTGTGCTTTGGATGATGGCAATGTTTAGAGAAGGCCACACGCACCTGAGTGGATTGAGGGTGATATGGCGGGCCCTGCAATTAATAGTTACTAACAGACATTTTTCCGAAAAAGATATGCAAATGGCCAACAGGTGCACGAAAAGATGTTCAACATCACTAATCATTAGGGAAATTCAAATCAAAACCACAATGAGATACCACCTCCTGCCTGTCAGAATGGCTGTTATTAAAAATACAGCCAATAACAAGTGTTGGAAGGATGTGGAGAAACAGGAACCCTCACATGGTGCTGGTCGGAATGTAAATTGGTACAACCACTATGGAAAACAGTATGGAGATTACTCAAAAAGTTAAAAATAGAACTATCATATGATCCAACTATTCCATTTCTGGTTATGTATCCAAAGAACATGAAAACACTAATTCAAAAAGATACATGCACCTCTCTGTGAATTGCATCATTATTCACAATAGCCAAGACTTGGAAACAACCTAAGTGCCCACCAACAGATAAATGGATAAAGAAGATGTGGTATATATACAATGGAATACTACTCAGCCATAAGAAAAGATGAAATCTTGCCATTTGTGACAATGTGAATAGCTCTTTAGGGTCTTATGCTAAGCAAAATAAGTCAGACCGAGAAAGACAAACACCATATGATTTCTCTCACATGTCAAAGAAATACATAAATACAGAGAACAAACTGGCGGTTGCTTACCAGAGGGGAAGGGGGTAGGGGGAGGGTGAGAGGGGTAAAGGGACACATTTACATGCTGAGGGAGGCAGTTAGACTCTTGGTGGGGATTGCAATGTAGTCTATACAGAAGGAAAACATAATGATGTACACCTGAAAAAAAAGATCCTAGGTCCCCCCCAGAATTTAGATCACATCCTCTATTAACGTCCAGATGCTTGGCTCTGAAAGCCAGATTGGCTGCCTGCATATGCTGGCAAATACTGAGGACTGCAGTGGCATAAAGGCCTGAAATTAAGGCCTTGCTCCGTTGCATGCAGTGTGAGCTCAGCCCATTGCTGACTCTCAGTGGTGAAGTGGCTCAGTGATCCTGGCCTTGCGTGTTGTTGGAAAGGGTAACTGAAATAGTGCATTCACAGAACTGCTGCATAGGTGTTGAGGAAATGGTCGTTGCTATCCCAGCCCTGTTCTGGGTGGGCCTCCTGCTGCAGCAGTTCCCTTGGGAAGGCCCCTGTTATCAGCTACCTCCGGGTTGACTGTGAACCCTGGCCATTCCTCTGGTAGATTCCCCTTGATTTGTACTGAGAAGCCCCAGCCATAATCATACCTGGATGAGGTGACTGAAACCTTTTGGAGAGGTTTCCTGAATCTCTTGTTTCTAAAATACCTGTGTGGTGGACAGGAGACATAAGGCCAGCATCCCTGAGAGGCTTTATACATTTCTCCTGGAAAACCTAAACTCATCGGCTGCCGTCTTCAATTCTATTTCAATTTTACTCTTTAACCCTCCCTTCTGGCCCTGCTTCTGACTTCTGCCATTTCCTGACTCCTGCTGCTTTTCATACACCCCTAAAATATCTCCCCCTCTGTCCTTCCCAGCCCTGGACCAAGTTCCTTCTTCGTTTTCAGTTCATGTCCCTTTGCCCATGTTATCCCGTCCAACTCTCAGTTCTTTCTTTGGTGCAGCTTTGATCCCACCTCCACCAAAGAAAAGCCACAGTTAACAGCATCTCCAAACTTTATTAGTCCTCTATTAATTATAGTGGATGTATTTATTCAGTTATATTGTTTTAAAAGATATCAGAATAAATAGAGAAATGTATATCTATCTCTATTTGGATAAAACGTTGGTCCCCAATGTGGCAGCAACAATCCTAGCAGCCTTATATCGCGTAGCCGTAGTATCGAGAAATTTCCATTTCTTTTTCCCTCTCAGTGAAAAACTGCACTTTCCCCCGAGAGGTGTACTTGGCAGCCTTCTCACGCTCCTGTTGAGCCTGCCTCTTCATGGCCTCCCGCTCTGGCCTCTGTTCCTGTGTGATGGGCTCTGACATCACTGGCCCTGGAATGTCGGGTTTCCTCCATGGAATTGGTTGCTTGCTGAAATCCTCCAGTAGATACTGGGCGGGAGGCTTGGGCGGGGCCTGGAGCATGGGCACAGCAGTGGGAATGAGCTTCTGCTGGAGAGAAGTGCAAGATGCTGTTGTGTAAGGTGCAGGCCTTGAAGCAGGACACTGAGGGACGCTAGGCCGGGTGGGGTTGGTCCAACCTGGTCGAGTGGGGTTGGTGGTAATTGGCCGAGCTGGTCTGGCAGGACCTGTCAAAGATGCAGGAGCTGGGTGGGTGGAATTGACTGCAGTTGGTTGAGCTGAGTTGGTGGAAGCAGGCCGGGCAGGGTCTGCCACAGCAGGCCGATGTGAGGCCAGAGCCTGTGGCCTCCGAGGAACAGGTCGAGCTGGAGGCTTGTCCACGGACAGAAAAGGCAAAGGTACCAACCTGACCTTCCCAGGAGGTGGCAAGTCATTCTGGGATGGAGGTGGACACTCTTTTTTAGCACTGCTCTCTGGTTTCTGGGTTTTGACTTGAGTTTCCTCGGGACCTTGACCCTCAAGTGGGATATCCAGCCACGGTTTGATAGCTGGGCAGGGCTGGGGGTGTTTGGGATTGCTGGAGGTTCCCAGGGCCCTGGAGGAAGAGAGCCCGGTGTTCTTCTCACTCTTCCTCCCCAGAGCATGAAACACCTGCACCGACTCCAGCATGTGCTGGCCTACGCAGCTTTGAGGCTTCTTAAAGGTCTGTTGGCTCAGCTCAGGTTGATTCTTCTCCTGCTTCATCTTCAGCATGGTTGGCTTCTCTTCCCCCTTGACTTCAATCCCTGACTGCTGACTCTCTCCGGCTTTCTTGGGGTTGTTTCCTCTGGTCCTCTTGGTCCTTTCCTGCCCATGGCTCTTAGTTGTACTGATCCTGCTGGGTGCAGCTTTCTGAGGTTTGCTGTTGGAGTGCTCAGCCTCGTTCACGGGAGCCCTGTCACTGGCTGCAGCATTGCAAATAAGCACTTCTCTCCCTGACAGGCACTCCGGGTCCTTTGGCTGGATTTTGGCCTTGGGAGCACCATTGATAGGCTCAGAGGCCTGATGTTTGTTCTTCCTGGCGTTATCGGAGGCATCCTTTCTGACATTTGACTTTTCCTGCAGCTGGATCGACTCGATGGCTCTGGTATTTTTGGCTTGGATCACCTCGGGGCCTTCAGATTCATCAAGATCTTTCAAGGAATTGAAGAGTTGGGGAAGGTCCTTCACCAGAGTAGCAATGTCTTCAAAGCCACCGCTAGCCTCAGTCCCATTTTCCAGTGTCCCTTGGCCCTCAAGACTCAGGCTACTCTTTCCCAGATCAGCATTTTCAGAACGAGGCTGGTCCTCTTGTCCAAGGGGATCGATGCAGGCCAGGAGGTGATGGATATCAGGAATTTCTAAAGGGTATAGTAGAGGCTCTTCATTTTCTGTTGGGATCTGGTCAGGATCCAGAGGCTTTGAAAGGTTGGTGTTAAACTCATCCAAATTCTTTGGAGCTGGAGACAGTGCCAGGAGGTTAATGTTCGAAGTCTGCACTGGAGCTATCACTGAAATATCCCCACGCTCGGGCGGTGGGTTACCCTGCAATATCTGGATATTTCTGTGACTACAGGACTTGAGGAATTCTGGAGCTTGTGGCAGACAAAATGTCTGGCTTGCAGGTTGCAGTCCAAAGGAAGTTTCCATTCCCAGGGAAGTTTCCATCACTACAAAGAAAGCAAGGAAGAAGTCAGTCCCTGGTAAGTGAGATGCTCCCCTAGACAGCAATGCAGCGATCATATCCCCATCCACAATGGACAAGGCGTTTCTACTAGCTCTTCTTAAGGATCATGGACAGTGTCCTGTGCTGGGAGATAATCCTATAATCCTAGTGTGAGGCCCTAGTGTGCCTTGATTATACTTTGTACTGGTCATCATTTGATATCATTATTCCTTGGTTTCCTTATATCTCATAGGGTTGTGGCAGGGAAAATAAAAATAAAAGTGATTTTTAAATTATGAAACATTTTACAAAGCCTAGCATTCTCTCATAGTGTCCTTTGAATTCTCTCCACTTTCCTGAGAGTGTTCACACTGTGGACTAGGAGAGGGAGTGGAGCTCTTCCTGATGAAATGTATAAACAAGTACAGATTCTTAGCCTGTTGGCTTTGGACAGGCTTTTGGGAACACAAGGTCTTAAACCCTGGTATCATTGAACGAAGTGAGGGAACGTTAACCTGGCTGTATCACAATGAGAGTTCTGAAGCACCTTCCCAGGAAACTAAACCCATAGATCAGGAAAGGATTCCATTTATGGGTGGTAGTGCAGGGGACTGAGCAGCTGGGGCAGTGAGACCTGTGCGGTCTCTTGCTGTGCTCTTGGGGTCATAGCCATGTAGCATAGATGACCATTACAGTGTCCCCCCTTCTAGCCAGTAATGGATGTTCTTATGTAGAGTCTGAAATAGAGAACACTAAGCGAGGATAGTGCTTAGTAAAGTCTCAGGACTTCAGTTCTACCTGTCTGTGGACTCACCACTTCCCAGCTGCAGGTTTGACCCAGTTTGGATGTGGACGTCATTCCTCTGCCTTCTTGCTGTTTGTACTCACCTTGAAATCTGGTTTGTGGGATGGCTGGAGCAGACGCAGCGTAGTAGACCCCAGAGGTGGAGGCTGGTGGAAGGACATGTGTGGGCTGAATCTCCTTTAGTACCAACACCATTTCTGGTTGAGGAGCAGAGGCCCCGGCTCCTGTGTAGGACACAGAGCCGTAGGACTGCAGGCAGGGGCCAAGTTCTCCAGACAGCAGAGGCCCCAGTGTGCCGTGACCACAGTAGTACACCTGGCTTCCTTCCTGGTAGGGAAGTGACAGGCTGTGTCCCTGATTTGGAACCCGAGATGGTGTTCCCTGAACAAGGCTGGTGGAAAGAGATGGATACAGTGGGACCGGGTTATTGGCACCTGAAGTTCTTTCACATTGAGCTGCCATAGACATGGAAGAAACCACTGTGTCCTGGCCAATGACAGTCAGAGTGCAGTCTCTGAGCGAAGATGACTCCTGTGCAGTGCTTCCTGGGACACCCCACTCAAAGAGACCTGGATAGGAAGCAGCTGAGGTGGAGCTCTGGCTCTGGCCAGTCACTCCAGACACCGTGGTTGTGCTAGAATGTTGGTAAAGGTAGGCACTCCCCATGAGTGGCTGGGAAGAGGTGCCCGAGGCTGACGGCAGTAGCCATGCCGAACTGATGGCTGGAGAAGATACTCTGGAGAAATTGCAGACACTTCCTGTTAGGGAAGCTGCATCGCTCACCACAGGAAGAGAGAGCTGCAGGGAGTTTGGAGTTCCAAGTAAGGATGGATGTTGGAAATTTTCTGTAGGGAACAAGAGGGTGATGAAAAACTCAGTGAGATTGATCAACTCTCACTATATTTGAGGGGCAGCATTATCTTAAGGTTGTTGCTATCAGGACGCTTCTCATGCCATTACTCACTGAGATGCCAAACTTCCACCCCTTTACGATGGTTGTAAGTGCTGAAGCAGTTTGTTCTTTTCTGTGTAACTGCCTGTGCTCCCAACTTGGGCAGAGATGTGCAGAAGCCCCATGTGGTGTGGGTCACACCTTGTTCTCTAGGCTGGAAGCCTCTTTCTCCCTGCCCATCCTTCCCTTGAGCCTGCACTAGTCCCGACTCATCTACTCTTTGCTAGAATTGAAGTGTTTTAGAACTAGAACGTCCTTAGATAGCTTCTGTTCTAACACTCTCATTGTAGGAGTGAGGAAGCTGAGGCTCAGAGAGGTCAGCTGGAGTGGTCCGATTCTCCCATTATGGCAGCATCATCACTAGGTCACAGAACCTAAGTCTCCTGACTTCTTGCCAGGACTCTGCTCTGACCATTCCACTACCAGAAACTGGGAGAAGTAGAACTTCTAATAGAGACATATTATTTTTGTCCATTAGAGAACAGTGCAGCTGTTACCACTGTCATCTTCAGGGTCTCATTTTGCTTGTGTATTTCACATGCTGTTCCCTAGAGTTCACATATAACTCAGCCCACATGGTGGATGTAATGGGTCATTTGTACCCTCTTCAAGCCTAGTTCCTGTTCCTACTTTCAAATGACTGCCTCAAAGTGAGAGTCTCAAGAAGTACTTTTTGAAAGAAAAAAGTTATTTAAACTCTCTGAGAAGACCTACTAAAACACCCAGAAAGAAATTAACAAAATGGCACTAAGTACATACTTATCATTAGCTTCTTTAAATGTCAGTGGAGTAAATGTTCCAATCAAAAGACATTGGGTGGCTTATTGGATAAAAAAAACAAGACCCATATATAGGCTGCATGCAAGAGACACACTTCAGACCTAAAGACACTCACAAACTGAAAGTGATGGGATGGAAAAAGATACTCCATGCAAATGGCAATGAAAAGAAAGCTAGGGTAGCAATACTTATATCAGATGAAATAGACTTTAAAACAAAAACTGTAACAAGGGACAAAGAAGAGCAACACATATGATAAAGGGAACAATCAAACAAGAGGACATAAGACTTATAAATATCTATGTACCCAGATAGGAGCACCTAAATATATAAGGTAAGTATTGACACACATAAAAGGAAAAATAGACAGTAACACAATATGAGTAGGAGAGTTTAACACTCCACTGACACCAATGGATAGATTATCCAAACAGAAGATCAATAAGAAAACATTGGCCTTTAATGACCCATTAGACCAGATGGACTTAGTAGATATATACAGAACGTTCCATCCAAAAACTGCACAGTACACATTCTTTTCAAATTCACATGGAATGTTCTCCAGGATAGATCACATATTAGGCCACAAAACAAGTCTCAATAAATTTAAGAAGATTGAAATAATTCCAAGCATCTTTTCTGACCACAACAGTATGAAACTAGAAATCAACTACAGGAAGAAAATCAGAAAATCCACAAATATGTGGAGATTAAACAAAATACTATTGAACAACAATTAAGTCAATGAAGAAATCAAAGGAGAAATCAAAAGTTACCTGAAGACAAATGAAAATGAAAATATTACATGCCAAAATTTATGGGATACAGCATAAGTGGTTCTAAGAGGGAAGTTTATAGCAATACAGGGCTACCTCAACAAATGAGAAAAATCTCGAATAAACAATCTAAAAGTGCACCTAAAGGAAATGGAAAAAGAAGAACAAACAAAGCCTAAAATCAGTAGAAGGAAGGAAGTAATAAGAGCAGAAATAAAATAGACACTTAAAAAACAATAGAAAAAATCAATGAAACCAAGAGCTGATTCTTTGAAAAGATAAACAAAATTGACAAACCTTTAGCTAGACTCACCAAGAAAAAAAGGGAAAAGGCTCAAATAAGTCAAATGAAAGAGGAGAAATTACAATGGACACCTCAGAAATACAAAAGATTATAAGAGAATACTACAAAAAGCTATGTCCCAACAAATTGGATAATCTAGTAGAAAAGGATAAATTCTTAAAATCATACAACCTTCCAAAAGTAAATCAAGAAGAAATAGAGAATTTGAAGAGAGAGATCACGAGTAAGAAGATCAAAACAATAATCAAAAACCTCCCTAAAAATAAAAGTCCAGGACCAGATAGATTCCCTGGAGAAGTCTACCAAACATTTTTTAAAAACTTAATACTTATCCTTCTCAAACTATTCCAAAAAATTGAAGAGGAGGGGAAGCTTCTTAGTTCATTCTATGAAGCCAGCATCACCCTGATACCAAAGCTAGACAAGGACAACACACAAAGAAGAAAATTACAGACCAATATCACTGATGAATATTAATGCAAATATCCTCAACAAGATACTAGCAAATCGAATACAACAATACATTGAAAACATCATCCACCATGATCAAGTGGGATTTATTACAGGGATGCAGGAATGGTTCAACATCTGCAAATCAACCAATGTGATACACCACATTAACAAAATGATAAATAAAAATCACATGGTTATCTCAATAGATGCAGAGAAAGCATTTGACAAGATACATCTATTTGAAGGAAGTACCTCATCATAATAAAGGCCATTTGTGACAAACCCACAGCTAATATCATTCTAAATGGAGAAAAGCTGAAAGCTATTCCTCTAAGAACAGGAACCAGACAAGGATGCCCACTTTTACCCCTCTTATTTAACATAGTATTGGAAGTCCTAGCCAGAGCAATCAGGCAAGAAAAACAAATAAAAGGGATCCAAGTCTGAAAGGAAGAAGTGAAACAGTCACTATTTGCAGATGACATGATCTTATATTTAGAAAGCCCTAAAGAATCCACCAAAAAACTTTTAGAAATAATAAATGAATACAGTAAAGTTGCATGATACAAAATCAACATGCAAAAATCAGTTGTATTTCTATGCACTAACAATGAAGTAGCAGAAAGAGAAATTAAGAATACAATCCATTTACAATTGCAACAAAAAGAATAAAATATGTAGGAATAAACTTAACCAAAGAGGTGAAAGATATGTACACTGAAAACTATAAAACTGTTGAAAGAAACTGAAGAAGACACAAAGAAGTGGAAAGATATTCTGTGCTCTTGGATTGTACGAATTAACTAGTCAAAATGTACATACTTCCTAAAGCAATTTACAGATTCAATGCAATCTCTATCAAAGTTCCAACAACAATTTTCATAGAAATAGAACAAAGACTCCTAAAATTTATATGCAACAACAAAAGATCCCGAATAGCCAAGAGAATCCTGACAAAAAAGAACAAACCTGGAGGTATCACACTCCCTGATTTCAAAATACACGACAAAGCTATAGTAACCAGAACAGCACAGTACTGGCACAAAAACAGACACACAGATCAATGGAACAGAATCGAGAGGCCAGAAATAAACCCACACATCTATGGACAGCTAATTTTTGACAAGGGAGCCAAGAACATAGAATGGAGAAAGGAAAGTCTCTTCAATAAATGGTGTTGGGAAAACTGGACAGTCACATCCAAAAGAATGAAAGTAAACCATTATCTTGCACCATACTCAAAAATTAACTCAAAATGGATTAAAGACTTGAATGTAAGACCTGAAACCATGAAACTTCTAAAAGAAAACATAGGCAGTATGCTCTTTGGCATGGGTCTTAGCAGCATATTTTCAAGTACCATGTCTGACCGGGCAAGGGAAACAAAAGAGAAAATAAACAAATGAGACTACATCAAACTAAAAGGCTTCTGCACAGCAAAGGAAACCAGCAACAAAACGAAAAAGGAACCTAATAATTGGGAGAACATATTTGCAAACCATATATTTGATAAGGGGCTAATATCCAAAATATACAAAGAACTCATATGTCTCAACAACAAAAAAGCTAACAACCCAGTTGAAAAATGGGCAAAAGATCTGGACAGAGATTTCTCCACAGAAGATATACAGATGGCCAACAGGCACATGAAAAGATGTTCAACGTCATTAATTATCAGGGAAATGCAAATCAAAACTGCAATAAGATATCACCTCACTCCTGTCAAAATGGCTATAATTAACAAGTTAGGAAACAACAAGTGCTGGAGAGAATGTGGAGAGACGGGAGCTCTCATCCATTGCTGGTGCAAGTGCAAACTGGTGCAGCCACTATGGAAAACAGTGTGGAGATTCCTCAACAAATTAAGAATAGAACTACTATACAATCCAGCTATTCCACTGCTGGGTATTTATCCAAAGAACATGAAAACACAAACGCATAAAGATACATGCATCCCTATGTTCATTGCAGCATTATTCACACTAGCCAAGACTTGGAAGGCACTTAGGTGCCCATCAAGGGACAAATGGATAAAGAAGGTATAGTATATATACACAATGGAATACTACTCAGCCATAAGAAATGATGAAATCTGGGTATTTGTGACAACATGGATGGACCTTGAGGGTATTATGCTACGCAAAATAGAGGGGCAAAGTCAAATACCATACTATAGCACTCATAAATAGAAGATAAAAACAACAACAAACACACACATAGAGACAGAGATTGGATTGGTGGTTACCCGTGGGGAAAGGGGAAGGGAGGAGAGCGAAAGGGGTGTTTAGGCATATGTGTACGGTGGTGGATTGTACTTAGTCTTTGGGTAGTGAACATGATGTAATCTACACAGAAATTGAAATATAATGACATACACCTGAAATTTATATAATGTTATAAACCAATATTACCGCAGTAAAAAAAAAAACACTCTCTGAGGTTACTTATCTGTAGTTATAACAACAACAACAATAATAATAGTAATAATTCATATATGAATAAAAGTGATACATTTCATATGATTTATATGGAGGAATATATAAACATTCTGGGGAGAGAAAAATCATGAAAAAGGTATCACAGGACTAAAAATACATAGATAATAATGAAAACTGTGGTATGTAGCAAGCATCTAAGCAGGATAAGTTTACTAGTAATTGAAGTTCTGTATCATACATGCAATATTATGAAGAATATTTCTGGCTCTATTATAGTAAATACTATTTGCCAAAAAACAGCCCAGAGTAGAAGGTGATTTGAGTGAATTCTTAGCCAGTACATACAGACAGAGAAGATATCAGTAAAAACTGCATAACAAGCAGCAAAATGCTATAAATGTGAATGTATAGGTGGCCACAATATATGCGGACAAATATTTCAGTGAAAACTGGTACAAAGCAGAGAGCAACATCCTAAGTGTAAAGGAATTCCGTTATTGTGCTCGTTCTTATTTCTCTGAACATGACCCAGCAAGGAACAGCTAGTAAGTGTAGTAGAAATATATCTTTAACTTAGTATAACTGTATAGAAGCAGAAGGGAATACTTTCAAGGTGTCAGGAAAGTTTTCATATTTATCCTATCACCTATTCAGATTCTTATCACCTTCAGGATGCAGGAAGGGGTCATCCCCAAAGACTAAAAACACCGTCATCCCTAGAAGCCAATTTTTAAAAATTTAATGTAGGAAAACCCAAAGGATGCCACAAAATTGTCTGTGATAAATGTGGAGTCAGAAATGGGGGACTTGACTTTTGCTTTTTCTTCTCAGGCAGCTTAGATCTAGAAAGAGATGGTGGCCGTTTCTCAGTGTGCGCTCTGTGTCAGGAAGAAAATGAGTGTAAAGATGAAAAGCAGCCTTGATTGGAACCTACATATCACACAAAGGAATTAGCACTTCTGATTCAAGTTAGGAGATACCATTGTTTAAAAAAACAATTTTATTTTTAATAGGCAAAACATCTACGTAGTTTAAAATGAGAATGCCATAAAACACTGAAAATTCTGTTTCCTTCAGCCTTCTGGACAATCACTTTATTATTTCTTAATTATAGGAAGTATTATTTCCAAAACATATTTCTAAAATGTTTACATTCAAAACTTTCAGGTGCCATCCAAGTTCAGAGAGGGAACAGAAAAAAGCAAACAGGCGAGTCTGTCTGAGAAGCTGCTTTTCCTGGCGATGCCCTGTTCTGCCTTACTCGCCTTCCCTGGCTATGAATGTGAGCCTTTGCTGAAGTCAACTGTGCTTCGCCCTGCTCTGAGCACATTTCACTCTGTGCTCTTCCTGCTGCAACTGAAAATCTTTGGTTCCTTCAGCATTTCATGCCAACCCACCCCTTTTTCCTGGAGAGCTCCTCCTTGCTCTCCTCCTCATTCTTCTGTTTTATCCTGTCTCTTGGTTCCTGTTGGCCTGTGCTCCTGAAAACAATCCTCAACTTCATGACCTTTGAAGACTGGCCTCCCTATAGGCCAGTACTCTCCATCGTCTCTCCCTGTTTTTCTTTTCACCTCATTTAGGTAGAAAACTCCAAAACATGTGCATATTGCCTTTTGAACAGCACTAAATTTAAAATACTACAATTGATATATCAGTAGAGGAAGACCATTACAGATGAAATATCTCAGTATACATTGCTAGTTTTCTGCATCACCTAGGTTTTCTCTCTGTTTGTGGAAACACTCTCAAGAAGTCTCTGATTTCATTCTACCTGGGTGCCCTTTAAGACTCAATATTAGAAGAGAAAAGGAGCAGAGGGAACAACGGATGTAATATCCTGATGTGAGAGTAAGCGACTTGTCCAAAGTCACACGGCTTATAATGTCAAAGTCAAAACTGAAATTAGGTCCCCAAGGTTTTAGTTAAATAATTTCCCTCATTATTCCATGCTATTTTGAATCTACTACTAAATTTAGGGGCAAAAATATATAATGAAAAACTTTTTCTTTCACTACCTGACATGGTAAGAGAAGAGGAAGCATCAGCTGCAGATCCAAGAGATGAGGAGATGATGCTAGAGGAAGTCTGAGTGGCTGCCGTCAAAGAGCGGTATGTCCAGTATGAAGGTCACTGGTCACACTGGTCACTTGCGATGATCCAAATTTATTTACAGACAACTCCATGGAAACCCCAAGATTCTAGCAGGTGGCAGTAGGTCTAGGGGGAGAATGATGTCACAGAGCAGGCAGTTCAAAGGTACGAGACAGCCAATAGGGCGGCCAGATTCCCCACAAGAAGATGGGATTGGGTGGAGGGAGTCGGGGGAGAGCTACAGCAGCACCTGCATGGCTGAGCTCTGGGGAGGTGACATCCTAGGAGCCACATGTGCTAGTCTCTCTTCCCCAGGCTCTTATGTTAGGGAATCCTCTCAATGTTCCTTATAGATGTTCATTAATGTAATTAACTCATAGTTCTTTGTATTCTATGAATTATACTTTATATTGTACATTAGTAATTACATGTACAGTTAGTTAATATCCTTAGAGAGGAAGGAAAAGGACATCTAGGTTGACCTATTACCGTTGTTCTGAAATCCTATCAGGTGATCTAACTGTGAACTTAGTGCAGGTTTTAAGGAGCAAAGGAAAGGATTGGGAGCTTCTTCTGTAACTTGGTTAAAGAGTAGGGTGAGGTTTGTTGAGTGCCCCTTGTGGGGAATGATGTGGTTCAAGGGTCTTCTCTTTGAGTTTCTTCTCCTTGAATCCTACCTTCCTTGGGCTGGGCTGGGCTGGGCCAGGTTGGACTTGCATCTCTCTGCTGCTCCCCTTTTCTTTTGTCTGCATTATAGGCCTTGTTTCTGGGACCAGCCTCGCCCTTGCATCTCCCCCTCCTGGATGTTACTTCCTTTCAATCCCAGCAGCAGAGGTCTTTCCAGTGCCTGATGCTTCTGGAAATGGCATCTGCCCATTAGAAGCAGATGCCAGAGAGCCAGAGACACAGCTGAGGGCAGAGCTCTTCTCTTCCAGCCTTGGGTTGCAATTCTTTTGCCCATAATTTGCTACCTCTGACTCCTTGGGCCACACAGGCCTCCTGCCATCCCGCGCTTTTATACATGAGAGGCATTTGGGGTCCCCCCCTTTCCTTCTCCTCTGAGTGTATCCAGTGTGGCAGTTGCTGTAGCCTCCTCCCTCTTGGAAACAGCCGCTGTAGAACATTGGGCCTCTAGGGTTCTCTGTCGGCCATGATTGTGTGCAAGGCCAAGCAACATGCAGAGGAGAATAGTGAGAGAAAGAGGAGGACATTCGTGGAGAATAGGGAAGAGGCAAGGTGAAAGGGACAAGAAAACAGCTGTCTGGTTTTTGGGTTTCTTGAGAAACAGGTTGACAGATTTTCCCTCATTTTGTATTAACAGAACAGACAATTCAATATATATTTATTAATGTAATGCGAGAGTCCAGCAACTGCCATGAATTCTCTCCACTAAAGAGAATAATCTTAAATCACTTTCTCTCACTTTGTCTTATGTGATATTACATGATTTACATTATTCATTGGTATGTTTGTAGACTATGGGTTGTTTTCTAATGCTCTGGGTCTTTCTCCGTGTTTTTCCTGGTTGTGTTTTTAAGGATCCAACACTGGGAGACAGATCACATGCTGTTCCCCTGATGATTGTTCATTTAAGCGTCATGAACTAACTTGACCTGAAGGGTTCTGTGGAGACACTTACAAGGGGTCTGTGAAAAGCACTGTGGTGAGTTGCACGGTGCCCTCACGCCTAAGGAGCAGATGTGTGCAGTGCACCCGGCTGGCCTGGGAGCCTCTGCTTTTGTGCCCCTGCTTAGTGCTCTTCTCTCTAACCACTCTGCTGACTGTGAGACAGTGGGCGAGGGCTGAGTTGCTGCTGATTTGTATGTGGAGTCAGCTGATTTGGGGAGGAAATCTGTGGATCTAGTCATTTTCCTTGGTGGTAAGCTTTTCGGATGCCTTGGTGGACCTATCTGGGGACTATTCTAGTGCGAATGAGTAGGAGGTGTGTGATCCAAGATGCCAAGATCCCAGATGCTAAGATGTGAGAAGATAGCTGCTCGATGGGACCTCGAAAGACACACATTTCACTTATAGGCCTATTTCACCTATTATAAGATATGAGCTTTTTGAGTGATGGTGAAAGATACTTATCTGAGAGGAAATTGTAAAGGCTGTTGCAGTGTAGAGATATGGCTTAAGCTTATAAATTTTTTCAAGGTTTTTTCCCTAGCTTCATACCTCTTATAGCCTACTTCCATAACATTAGGATGTAACGTGAGGCTAACAACATATCCCAGAGATCCTCAAGTGAGACCAGTGTCTCTTTTCTCTATGTTCCCATGGAAATGAAGGGAATCCAGAGCTACTGCAGCTTAGGGTGGGTGGTATAAGATTGGGGGAGCTGTGGTAACACAAATTCTGGTAACAGCAAAATGTTTACATATGAGAATATTCTGTTCCAACATTCAATTTAGGCAAACTTTGAGTTAAGCCTTTGCTGGTTCCCGGCTTCTATAACTACTTTATCTCCATAGTTGCAGCCACTTAACCTTAGCTTGCGGGCTCAGCAACATCTTAACCCCCAGAAGAACCTTAAATGTCAAGGAATAACCTAAAGAGCATAGTCCAACAACGGGAACTTAGCATCAAGCCCTACCCTGACATAAAGCCTTATGATGATGATGATGATTTATTTATTTTTGCTGAGGAATATTCGCCCTGAGCTAACATCTGTTGCCAATCTCCCTCTTTTTTTTTTTAATGTGAGCCACCCCCACAGCATGGCTACTGACAGACAAGTAGTGTAGGTCTGTGCTTGGAAACCAAGCCCACACTTCTGAAGCAGAGCACACCGAACTTAACCACTAGGCCCCCGGGGCTTGCCCCAAAGCCTTATTTTTATAGTTGTTGTATTGTCTTGTCCCATAGACCCACTTCCTGCATTTTGTTCCCATGGGGATAACTGAGACTTGTCTTGGTGTAACATACACCTGAGGCTCTTCCTTACTCTCCCGGTTGTCGCTTTTTGATTTAATTAAAGACTGGCCAAAACCAATAGAATGTACAATTCAGTGTGAATTGTGGACTTTGATTGATAACGATGTGTCAATGTTGGTTCATTGCTTCTAACAAATGGAGCACACTGGTATGGAACGTTCATGGTAGGGAAGGCTGTGTAGGGTGAAGCAGAGAGGGTATAAGTGAGAACTGTCTGTACTTTCTGCTCACTTTTGCTGTGAACCTAAAACTGCTCTAAAAACTAGTCTATTAATCGTTTTTAAAAAGTGTTTTGTTAGCTCTTGAATAACCCAACAGATTGATGGATCAGAGTAAATAAGACAAATGCATAAAAGAATATTTAGCAACAAAAGCTACCTTCCTATATATAGATGTTCAAGAAGTATTTATAAGTGCCTATTTATAGGCACTCCACTTGGAGCTGGAGGTACAGTGGTGGACAACATTGATGTGGTCCCTGCCTTCTGGGAGTTTACAGTCTGGTGAGGAACCCACATGAAACAAATAGATGTAGACATAAATCTGTAGACATGAGCTTATTTTCTTCCCTCTAATCTCTGGAAGAAAAGATTGTAATATAGCTCGTAACTTCCAGAAGAGTGGAAACGTTCCTTTGAATCACGCTTATTTTAGCATCACAGGGCTTGAATGAATGGACGATATAAGAAAAGATTTTAAGCACATGTTTACTCTCTCTTACTTCCTTCTCTCTGACAGAGTTTGGAAGAAAATCTTGCTCCAAAATAATGTTTTCCGCCTTGAATCATTTTAGCTAAATCCAAGAACAGAATGAAGAAGTTGGACTGGTTGTTGATTGAGCATATACTCACCACTAATACGAGCCAGAGGTAAATGGAACCCTTCATTGAAAAGACCCTTCTTCTTTCTGATGGTATAATAACTCACAGTAATTCAGTAGTTCTCATCTTATGCTAAGGTGAATCGTGGCCTTCTTTCATGGTAATAGTTCAAAAAGGGAACCAAGTGGTTCCCTTAATTACACCTTTCTATTTGTTATCTCAATGAGATTAAAGACGTGTATTGAACTATAATACTTGGCAATAGGCTCTGTATGTGCTTAAGAAATACTATAAACTTCCATGTTCTATATTTTGAAAATGAAGTAAACTTTTAGTGATGAAAGTAGTAGCCTAAAAGGAAAAGAAGGGAACGTCCATGTGTCTTTAGCACTTACTCGGAGCAGTTGCTTGAGCAAGTGTAAGCATCTGAGTAAAAGGCAGTTGTTCTCTAGTGTTTTTGCTTTCTTTTCATAGTATCATTTGATATGATACAGAAAGATAGATTCTGTCTGCCCATGTGGCGTCTCAGTAAGAAAGAATTATCCTTCTTCTGACTGGTTCTGGAGCCTTAGGAAATACTGACACCTAATGTTGTTAACGTTTGTACTACTGCTGAAAGCTTTGTCACCCAGGCGTGTTCTGCCGTACTCACTGAAGAGTTGCCTCCTTGTAAGATGTACTCTTGAGTAACAGTGACAGAAATTTAGGTCATGTTGCCTTCAGCAATAGAGAGAGCCCAAAGACCCTAAAGTTTTTAATGCCTTTTCTCTCATGTTTTTTACTTTTTTTTTTTTTTTTTTTTTTTGCTATCTTAACTCTGCTGCTTGATAGCTGTGCACCCAGGGAAGTTATTAAACCTCTTTGTGCCTCAGTTTCCTCATCTGTAAAACAGAGATAATAGGACAGATAAGAGGATTGGATAACACATGCGTAATATTTAAAACAGTGTCTAGTATATATTGGCTCTTACTGTTAGTCTCAGAATCTAAAGTTTGTGTTGTTGACTTCTTTCCTTGTCTCTTAAAGTTCAAAAAGCATTATTCTTGAGCTTCAAAAAGAAAGGAAATGGATTTGAAAATTAGATCTGCCATTTACTAGCTGTGTGACCTTGGGAAAGTTACTAACCTCTCAGTGCCTCAGTTTCTTCATCTATAAAATGGAGATAATAGCGGTATACTTCTATGTAGGGTTATTGTGGGGATTAAATGAGTTATTAAGCATAAAGCATTTAGAACAGTGCCTGGCACCTAGTACTACCTGTTAGTTATGCAGCAA